GTGTTGTCAGATGCAAGTTTCCCGAAATCTAGAGAGAATTACAAGAAAAAAAATGAAAGAGAGAAAAAAGAATTTTTGTGAAAATAAGTTAAAATTTAGTTTTTCACAGTAAATGGAATTTTGTTTTATGCTCGGTTTTCGGTCGATAATTCAATGGTCGGCCGTGGAATGGCCACCATGGTGGTCGGACAGTATGGTGTGTGGAAGTCATAACAGTCTTAAATAGAAAATTGACCAATTAAACATGAGAAAATTGACCAGTTAAATATGAGAAGTATAATCGATTCTGGTTGGTCAATTTTCTATTTAAGATTGTGTAGTAATTAACATAAATGATGTCCCATACATAACTTATCTTAACTTAAACAAATACATATTTGTAGCACAAATTTAATCTCAAAAATCAATCTAGTAAGATTAAACATGTGCGTAGCCGCCCCGAACCCAAATGCTAGACTGCGTTCGGAAACATCACCCGGGTGCACCCGTATATTGTTTTATTCTTCAATATTTAATATAGGGTGAATAACGCAGATCTTACTAGATTGATTTTTGAGATTAAATTTGTGCTACGAATATTGGGTCATCTAAAAAGTATCCGCGGTTTTTGTCACTAGATGGTGTTGATGGTCAACACATCTAGTGACAAAAAACCGCGGATACTTTTTAGATGACCCATTATGTATTTGTTTAGGTTAAGATAAGTTATGTATGGGACATCAATTTATGTTAATTACTAGCCTTACTAGTCTAATACGAAATCTACAATAAAAGTCGTAGCGATAATAGTCTTTAATAGAAAATTGACTAACCAGAATCGATTATATTTGGCTGATCTTCGCCGAGCATGAGGCTATATCAAGGTAAAAATAACGAGACTGCGAACGCGAGTGACGCAAGCCGATGATATTGACGAAGAACAAGCGGAAGCAAGGCTGGAGAAACTGGAAGACACATACAAGGATTTTGAGTCCATACAATGGCAATTACTAGAAAAAGAGAGCGAATTCAATGATGAGGACGCACTAGAGCAAAAATATTTCGAAGAAAGGTATTTTGAGGTAAAATCTTTATTAAAACGATGCATGAAGTTATCGTCGGCGTCTCGCTGTACCGCGAGATACAGACGCGGTCACTCGGTTGTTGCAACAGCAAACCGAGCTCATGGAACAAATGCGTCGCGATGCTCAGCACGAAGACGCGGACGCCGCGTAGTAATAACGAGACGTTGTCGGCCATTCTCGCGCGACAAACCGACATACTTGACCGTGTGGCAAACAATGCAGGCACGATTAATGCAGATACTAGAGTAAAGTTACCTACTATCAAACTACCGAGGTTTGATGGCAAAATCGAGGATTGGAAAGCATTTTCTGACAGCTTTCGATCAATCATACATGTCAGACCGCAACTGTCTGACGAAAAGTTTCAATATTTAATTTCGTCAATCTCAGGGGACGCCACTAAAATTATTGAGTCGATCGAGCTAACGGGTCAAAATTATTCGACGGCTTGGGAATTACTGCTAAGTAGATATGATGATCCTAGGTCGTTCAAGAAAAAAACATATTGAATGTTTGTTCACAATGCCCGTCATAGCAAAAGAGTCAGCGAAGGCTCTTCGCGAGTTCGATTATATTTCCAGGCACCTACGCATGTTAAAGATTCTAGGATTATCGATTCATGGGATGATCTGATCATGCACATGATGGAAGACAAATTCGATGTGAAAACTCTTCGAGCATGGGAAGAGGAAACAAAATCTAACGAAATAGTGACGTCAAATGACATGCTGGAATTTCTAAAAAATAGAAATAGCCTCATTTTAGAGCGTATCGTCACGATCAAATGACAGGGCTCTCAAAGAAAAGGAGCTGCGTAGCAAGGGCTCTCATGGACACTCTAAATCTCAAGCTGGAAACAAGGGTGCTGCAAATCTCAAAACAAGTTCTCTAAATAGTTCCTCTTCTCTGAATACGGGTAAGTGTTTCCTCTGCGATGGATCACATCTTTTATTTGTTTGTGAGAAATTTCTAGTTCTGTCGATTGCCGATCGAATCAAGGAAGTCAAGCGTAAAGCGTCTAAGCATAAATTGCTTCAGAAACGACCATTACGTAAAGGTATGCAAAAGGGGTTCCTATCGAGAATGTAATGGGAGGCACAATACACTATGTCATCAACAACAGGCTGACAAGGACTCTGCAAAATCAGAGTCGCAGGATAACAATCATCAATTTGTTGCTAATGTAGCGATTAATCACACATATCACAAGGTAAAAAGGCGACGAATTCTCATGGCCATTGCAAGGTTAGAAGCAACGCGATGTAATGGCTCGCTAATTCCGATTCGCGTACTTCTTGATAGTGCCAGTGAGGCAAATTTTGTTACTCAAGTTGCGTACAACAAACTAAGGTTGAAAAAAAATAGGACTTTCGAAATTGTAACTGGTCTAAACGAGATTGAAAACAAGATTCACAGTATCTGCGAAGTTCATGTAAAGTCGAGATGTTCCAATTTCCAGGCCAGTGTTCAATGTCTGATCGTACCCAAAATTACCAAGAATTTGTCGTCCACGAATATAGATTGACAAGCTACAGATACCGAGTAATCTTGTATTAGCTGACTCAGAATTTCACAATAACGGTCCAATAGACATATTACTAGGGGCGGAATATTTCTTTGACTTATTAGACGTGGGTAAAATCGAGCTTGGGCAGGATTAACTAGTTTTACAAAATACAAAACTTGGATGGATCGTAGCAGGTTCCATTCCGATAACGGCCATCGACAGGGGAGCGACAAGCGCATTGGTTTGTTCGGTAGAGCCTGGCGATGTGTTAAAGGAATGTCTGGAAAGATTCTGGAAATTGGAAAATTACGACAAAACAAGAGCGTTATCGATAGACGAGAAAAGATACGAGCAGCATTTCGAGCAAACTATCACGCGAACAAGCAATGGTAGATTCATGGTAAAATTTCCGCGATGCGAATTTACCTATTGGTGATAACCGAGAAGTAGCTTTGAAGCGTTTAATGCATTTGGAACGCACACTCAAGAACAATGATGTCATGAGAGATCGTTATGTTAAATTCATGAGAATATATCGAGTTAGATCACGTGTCAGTCCTGAAACCTCCGCTTGACGATTGCAAAGGCGCGGTCTATTTGCCTCATCATGAAGTGTTAAAAGAATCTAGTACTAATACAAAATTACGTGTTGTATTTGATGCATCCGCTAAAAATAATAAGGGCGTGTCTTTAAATGATGCTCTTTTGATCGGACCCGTTTTACGAGATGGCTTAATCAACATAATTATTCGTTTTCGTACTTACAAAATCGCTTAACTGCTGACTTACAGAAAATGTATCGCCAGATGTTGGAAGACGATCGCGATTTTCAATGAATTTTATGGAGATTTTCGCCTGAGCAACCTGTACAAGATTATCGCTTAAATACTGTTACTATGGCCAAGCCTGCGCGTTTTACTTGGCAGTACGTTGTTTGAGACAATTAGGTGAGGAAGGTAAAGAGAGTTATCCGCTTGCGTCTCATACTTTATTGAATGATACTTATGTCGATGATATAATATCGGGGGCACGATTGAAAATGCTCGTTCTTTGCAAGAACAGTTAACTATGTTATTACGAGAAGGAGGATTCGAAGCGCACAAATGGTGCTCTAATTCTGACAACGCACTGAAAGGAGTTTCGCACGAACTCTGTGAATCTAATTCTACAAGGTGCGTCCCAAAATTTTCCCAACTTTTTCAATAGGGATAGGTCGGGTGGCGCCATCCGTGTGTTCGATTGCGCGTTTGAAAGGTACATCCCTAGCTGACTTCCAGTAAAAATTTCATGACATTTGGTTCAGTGGAAACGAAGTTATGGCGTCTCAAGTGTCAGTATGTTGTATACATCGGTACGAGAATGAACTTCGAACAAAGAGCCAATATTAAGTTTTGTTTTAAACTTGGTAAAACATTTACCGAAACCCATAATTTGATGAAACAAGTTTATGGTGATAATTGTGTAGCCCGTGCCAGTGTTTATGAGTGGTATACGCGATTCAAGAACGGTCGTGAGGACATAAATGACGACGCACATACAGGTCGCCCAAAATCGACAATTAACGAAAATTCCATCGAAGTTTTTATGATTCCAAGGGTATTGTGCACAAAGAATTCGTTCCAGCAGGCCAAACAGTTAATGCTGTATTCTATGTAAGCGTTTTGAAGCGTTTGGTGCACCGCATTCGTCGTATTCGGCCAGAATATCGCGAAGGAGGAAGTTGGCGCTTGTTACACGATAATGCGCCATCTCACCGTTCGACACTTGTCACTGATTTTTTGACTAAAAATCACATTTTAACAATCAACCATTCCCCGTATTCGCCTGATATGGCACCTTGTGACTTCTACCTATTCGGCAAAATGCATTTGTCCATGAGAAAGCAAATGCGGAACGCTTTAAGTTTACCACAAATAAACCATGCATCCACAAAGCGCGAGATGCTGTCCGCAATTGATAAACTATTCGATCTTTTGGGTTTGATAGGTCCCATTTTAATTGATGCGAATGATACTATTCGGGCTTTGGGGTTCGAATGGAAGTCAAATTCGGACAGACTTCAGTTTACCACAAATAAGTCATGCATCCACAAAGCGCGAGATGCTGTCCGCAATTGATAAACTATTCGATCTTTTGGGTTTGATAGGTCCCATTTTAATGGTAGCTAAAATCCTGATGCAAAGTCTTTGGGAAATCAAGACAGGCTGGGACGGTCCACTCCCAGATTAGGTGCAAGACAAGTGGAAGGAATTCCGAGATTTTTTAAATAATATTCACGAGTTATATGTTCCTCGATTAGTTGTAGGTGTATCAAAGAATTGTCGATATTCCATGTTTGGATTTTGTGACGCTTCCGAGAAAGCATATGGCGTATGTACCTACATACGATCGGTAAGCGAATCCAGCGAAGAAACGACAGTTAGATTATTATGCGCGAAAGCGAAGGTAGCCCCTTTAAGAACCAATCTATACCTAGGTTAGAACTATGTAGCGCGTTATTACTATGTAAATTAATCAATAATGTAAAACACGCCATTCACATTGAAATCGATAAAATACGGGCATGGTCTGATTCCATGGTCGTGCTGTACTGGCTTCGCGGCGACGTAGCGCGTTGGAAAACTTTCGTATCCAACTGTGTGTCGGAAATTAGCGAAATACTGTCTGCTATTCATTGGAACCATGTAAAAGGTTCGGAGAATCCCGCAGATCTGATCTCAAGAGGAGTTTCACCTGCTCAGCTGAAGGATAATTCCTTATGGTGGAATGGCTCTAAATGGTTGTCATATATTCGTCCCATCACAAGCGAAAGAAATCTCGATTTGAAATTCGCCGAGGATGCCGTACACAGAGCCGAGATTGAAGCTAAGCAACTCACAGCAGTTTGCAATCTCATCGTACCTCAATTATTGGTTTCCAACGAGACAATCAACACACTCATCACGAACTGCTCAACGTTCACAAGGATTGAGCGGATACTTGCCTATTGCATTAGATTTCTTCATAATTGTCGCAAAGGACATGAAGACCGAGAATTATTTAAATTGACTCTACCTGAGTTGGAGTTATCAAGACACGAGGTACTCAAGCATTCACAACGTGTCTACTTCGCGAAAGAACTAAAATGCCTTCAAAACAAACGAGAAGTAAGCAGAACTAGTCCATTACTTCAGTTACACCCATTTCTAGACGAACATGGTATAATTAGAGTGGGCGGACGACTTCAGGCGGCGTCTGAGTTTCGAAAGGAAACATCCCATCTTACTGCCCGCACAATGCAAGATCACACGTTTGCTGATCGAAAGAGAGCATCGCGCTCTACTACATGCTAATCCACAATTGTTGCTGGCATCAATACGCCAGCAATACTGGCCGCTAAACGCAAGAAATTTGGTGCGTCAGGTTTGTCGTTCCTGTGTCTGGTGTACTGGGCATAACCCAAGAGGCCACTAACACAAGCGATGAGATCCCTTCCCAGCGATAGAGTGCAGTCATCCAGAGCATTCGCCGTCACGGGAGTCGATTTTGCTGGACCAATTACTACCCTTGTCAACAAAGGACGAGGGCGGAAAACATGCAAATCCTACATAGCATTATTTATATGCTTCGCCATCAAAACCATTCATCTCGAGGCTACAAGTGAGTTATCTATGATGGCCTTCCTAGCCACGTTACGCCGCTTCATTGGTCGGCTTCATTGGTTCGCCTCGAAAGATTTACAGCGATAACGCCAATTTCGTGGGTGCTAAACGCGAATTACAAGAATTGTACGCTTTTCTCCACACATCCATCAACGGGGAAGTTGGCGACGCGTTGCAGGAGAGAGGCATAGAATGGAGCTTTATTCCTCCATATTCGCCGCATCTAGAAGGTCTATGGGAAGCAGGAGTCAAATCTTGTAAATATCATCTCCGCAGAATCATGGGTAATGCCTTATTTACCTTTAAGGAATTAACTACGTCTCTCGTACAGATTGAAGCGTGCTTGAATTCGAGGCCATTGTCACCTCTATCGTCTGATCTGGAACCTTTAACACCAGGACATTTCCTGATAGAAGAACCACTAACCAGCCTTCCGGACAACTGATATAAAGATCAACCGCCTTAAGTGGGAAATGGTTTAACGTTCGATCCAAGAATTTTGGAAACGATGGGCGGCCGAATATGTATCCAATTTGCAAAGCCGCGTCAAGTGGAAAACTCGCCAGGAAAATCTCCAAGTCAACGATCTCGTGCTCTTAAAGGAGAATAATCTTCCACCGTTAAAATGGAGAATTGGACGCGTTATAGAAATTCATCCTGACAAAGACAATTTAGTACGCGTCGCGACGGTGCGCACGATCACTGGTATCGTTAAACGTGCAATTGCTAAACTTTGCAAGTTACCAGTGAATGATTTTATAAAGGAAGATTAATTGATTAATCTTGGTGGACGGTGTGTTAGCGCGTCGACTATCTATGTTATCAATTCATCGATCTAAGCGCTCCATGCCTGCGCTCGTTAGTAGATAAGTCCCGTCATGGTGAGGCCCGTTGTCGAGAGAGGGAGGTGCCTCGTGTACACGTGTGGCTATTGGTGCGGCTGCTGTGCCCAATATGGCGCCGAGAGTGTCTGGGCGCTGGCGATTACCAACTAACGGCGAAGGACAATTGGCGGGAAATCGTTAAGTTGACAATGAGTGCTATTCGCTGATTCTGACTTTTATGCCATAAGGCGATTTAATACAAACTTGACTAATTATTTAACACAAATATAGATTACAAAATAGAGACGTGATTGCGTGCGTAAAACGGCTCGGATACCGGGATCGCGGGGTTACAATACAAGAAACTATGAAAATATATTCTGAATAATTATCCGACGACGCTAACAATTATCACAAGACATGGACGGTGATTGGTATCGGTCTCGCAGTATACACAAAATAATTTGGAACCTTAACTTCCGAGTTCTAACTTATTGACTATCGCAGAGACTTATACGAGGTCCGCACGCGGCACGCCATAACACCAGAGAGAGCGAAAGGAAGAAGAAATGGAAAGAAGGACCAACTTCAGTGCCGCGACGGACGTACGCAACGCCGCAACTGGCGCTCGCAGCGCCGCAGCTAACGCTCGCAGCGCCGCAACCAACGCTCGCAACGCCACACACGGGCGTTGGCGCGACGATAGCGAGACCACGCTGGTCACTTCCACGTGAATCGAGAAAGCGTGCAGAGATCCGCGATTGCCATTTAGACATAAAGTTAATTAAGTGAATTGTATTCGAGTCAATTATCCATACACAACATATATTTTTCTTTATATTACTACGTGGCATTGATAAAACCATTTTATAAAGCTGGCCAATCATAGTCGTTTCATTTTTCCGAGCCCCGAGGAACAGCTATGATTGACCAATTTTATAAAACGGTTTTATCAATGCCGTATAACAAAGGTCTATGTTCTGTTTCATATTTATTATTAATTCCAAATTGTGATATATTAATAAAAAAAATAATTTATGATTTTATTTTAATAAAATTTGTAAAAAAAAACAAAAATTTTGTGAATTTAAGAGAAATAGATAAAATTAGCAGAAAATTTGAAAAACAAGAATTTTAATAGATAACTAGAGATTATCATATGCCAACAGGGAAGTTGCTTCGCCGGTATGGCAACATTGGACACTAGTAGTATATTTTTATACTGACCAATTCAAGATTAATTCAAGATTTTATTTCCAATTCGAAAATTAATCGAAATTGGAACCAAAAATTTGTCGAAATCAATAGAAATTTCGAAAACTTTCAATTATTTCCGACATCGAAACGTCTTTTCGAGAAATTATTTCTGACTGGGTAGGCTAATAAGAGTCAGCATTTGTAGAATAAAAAAGACATCAATCCAATATCTGATTATTGATTGTTCACTAAATAATTGTGCCGTTTATCATTGCTAACTCTCATTAGCCTACTAAATTTATCTTTTTGTATTGTATAAGACTTTAAAAAAATAAATTTTTAAAAAATTGTTGCATTTAAAATTACATTAAATTATTAGAAAATTTTATGTCCAAAGAATCGTGTAAAAAAACTATACAAATTTTACTTAAAACATATAATATATCTTATTGTTCCAACTGGAACATCTGAACTGGAAACATCTGAAGATCTATTTGTGGCTCGAAAAGCAGTTGAAAAAAGAAATTATATTGTAAATAAAGTATATAAATATTTGTAAATTAAGTATATAAAGTAATGAAAATAGGGTTAAAGTATACAAAATAAGTAAAGTGTACAAAGTAAACAAACATATGTATGTAAAAATGAAAATTTATTATTAATAACATTACATAATTACATTTTCGTAAGAAATTGTTTTGAAAGTTTGTTTCTTTCTCTTTGAATCGAATTGTTTTCTTTTTATTAACTGTATTATCACTTTTATTTGTTTCTCTTCAACTGCAACCAATTTTTTTCTCACATTGTAAACCTCCTTTGAATCTCATCTTTTTTAGCCACTTTTTAATGGAGTATATCCGGAAACTAAATCTGACATTTCTGCTGAACTCGGTTTATTATTTAAATATTCATTTTCTAACGTGCAATTAGAATTGCTATTATTGACATTAATATCTAATTCTATAAATGAACTAGCAACAATCGAATTAGACAATGGCGATGATCTTGTATTCGAATGTGGACACGGAGTAGAAGGAGTGCAGTTCATTGAGACTATTTGGAGAAGATGTGGATCGGCTGAAATTTGTTGAAATGCTTGGTCTTGACACAGTTGTAAATGCCTAATCTGTGATTTGACTAAACGAGGATATTGTCGAACCAAAGTTTATGAAAAAAAATTTCCGCTTAATAGGATAACGTCTGCTCCCGCAATATGTTGAGGGAGCGATGCGAAAAGTACGCCATTCAGCGGGTGGTTTTGTAGCGCTCTTTATTGTTGAATGCGCCCATTGATAATAAGTGATTAGATAATAACTGGGCAATAATTTATGATACAAGTTTATATATGTATACATTCAATATAACGAATGGACAGTATAAGAATATTCACGTAGCAGTTTTACATTCAGTCAGTGCAGTAGTTTTGTCATAATCATATCTGTGCAATTTGTTAAATTGTTTTTACGATTCAAAGCCAAGTTCAATCTTTGGAAATGATTATTAATCCGCTTAATATCAGACTTTTATTAACATCTATAAGTTTAATATATCTAACAGTAACTGAAGCAGAAATGGAATTAAAAGAAAATATACAAAAATTATTGCTGGATAGCATTTTTCACTATAATAGATTGCAAGTAACAGAAGAAACTTATCTCGATCATCAAGAACCTTATAAACTACATAATTCTGAAATAATTGAAGATGATGAAAAAACATGGAGTGAAGATAATTTAAATTCTCATCCTCAATGTTCAAATGATGACGCAGACTTTGACAGTTCTTATAAAAGACGAGCTGTTGAGTATTGGCGGAATTGGGATATTAATGAAAAAAATAAAAACAAAAGGAATCGTCCGCTAAAATCCAGTGCAAAATAAATTTAGAAAAGTTTCATCTGAATTTATCAATTAAGACGATGGGAAGAACAATTACATTCAAATGGAAATTGTATAGAAAAATTATCTCCAAATTTGATAAATTTATTGCAGCTGTTGAATCAGGATTCATAATTCATGATATCGATCTACAAAAGTGAGCTTACAAGCTCAAGAAGAAATAGGAAATTTAAATCCTATATTTAAAGCATCTCACAGTTGAGTATCAACATTCAAAAAATCCCACCGAATTATTTCGAGAAAAATTACGAAATTTGTAACTAGAAGAACAATAGAAGATTCGTTGAGTTGCAAAATACAGCTAATGATTTTCTGAAAATAGTGAAACCACTTATCAAACAGTTCTAAAAATGTTTTTAATTCTGATCAAAGTGATTTTCAATTAGAAATTCATTCTGGAAGGTCATTATCTAATGAAGGAGTAAAGAAAGTAGAGTTGTGCAATCTATATCATCAATAACACACTCATACACCATATAACTAATAATAATCGTGTAATGGAAATTTGCTGTCACCTTTATTTATTGTATTGAAAGAAACTAATGGTATATTTGCATCAAGAAACTTTATTTACAATAAATTATTGTAAGCACCAAAATATCTAATCTAATAAAATGACTTCTCTCAGATAATTAAATAAATTTCTTTTTATAATACATTTTCAGATATTGTTTTACAATTAAATATAAATTTGCATAAACGAAATAATATAATGAAATTATAAGTCTTACTTCTGTGATATATTTGTGATATATTTTATATTTTATTTAAAAATCTCATAATAATCATAAAATAGTTATTAATTTATATTTCTCATAGACCATTTTAAAATGTAGTTAGAAGAAACTTATTTTCCAAACATTGGTTATAATAGCGTTCTTCTTATCGATTCATGGACTGGACATTGTCCCAATATTATTTCAGATTTAACACCTGCAAGAAAACATGTTACTTCTATGATTATACCGAAAGATATTACAGGGAAAATACAATCATTAGATGTTTACGGATTTAGAATTTGGAAAAATTTTGCTAAAAAATATTCAGATACTGTTTTATTATTAGAAAGTAATATAAATTTACATGAATAAAATAATATAACAAAATTACAATCTCTGATACATAATCAACTGTCACGCGATATCACAATTTATTTAAGAACTGGAAAGGATACGGGCAGTAAGAGTCAAGCACAAAAAACGATGCGCAAATAATATATCTAGAAAGTGTGAAACTTCTTTATTTACTAAAACACGCTTACATATTTTGGCTCACTTTTGAACCTTCCTCAAAAACAACATAAATTAATATATATAAAAACTGTGAATAAAAATTATCCTGTCATGGTGAGCTCCCTTACATCGAGAATTTAAATGTCGGAATTAAAACCAAAAAGAGAAAGAAAAAGGAAAAGAAAAAAAGAGAGAAGAAATTAGGAAATATCGTAAAATAGAATATGGAGAACTAATTTATCAAATAATTTTAAGATTATAATTAATTATCCAGCAAATATAAAGACGCTCATC